CCCATCGATACCCTACGGGAGATCCTCAAACGGAGAACCCAACCGCGGAGCAGCGCCTCTAATCCTGCCGGTCCTGGGCAAAAAGCCATGGCCAAGACCCTCTTGGGCAGCATAGGATCCTTGGAGCCGCGAGGTCCCGGAGAGATTCACATCCCTACCCTCACCAAGAAGGTCCAGCAACCTGGCAGCCCCATGGGGCAATCTCCTACCTCGTCCCCACCTCCCACCGCCCGGAAGATGTTTCCAGGCCTTTCTCCTCCCTCCTTGCAGAAGAAACTCAAACAAGATCAACTGAGGGTGGAAATCAAACGGGAGATGATGTCGGGAGGACTTCACGGAGAACCTCACCCATCCGACCGAGCCTGGTCCCCGCGGGAGGAGATGTCACCCTTGAATCTCTGTAAGTGCACGTCTGCGGGGCCGGATGGGACCGCGCTCCCATGGGAATGGGGATGCGGGGATCCCTCTGGCTTCGGGAAGGGCTGAGGGCTCACCCTGGTGCTCTGGGGGAGTCCACGTCATCTTCCATGGTCTCAGGGAGGAGCAGAGTGTGTGTGTGGGGGGTAAGCACGGTCCTTACGATCCTTTTCCCCTCCCTGACCCCCCGGCTCTCCCCGCAGCCTCCCGAGCCGACCCGGTGCGAGACATCCGCTGCGAGTTTTGTGGCGAATATTTCGAAAACCGCAAAGGTTTGTCCAGCCACGCTCGATCTCACCTCCGACAGATGGGGGTGACCGAGTGGTCGGTCAACGGTTCGCCCATCGATACCCTACGGGAGATCCTGAAGAAGAAATCCAAACCCTGCGTTATCAAGAAGGAACCGCACACCTCCAGCATCGAACCCCCTAAATCTATCGGGGAGGAAGGGACGGACCCCAAAACTGCCGGAAAAATCCTGCAGGGCATGGCTCTGCCTTCCCTGGGCGGGCGGACGGGGAAACCCAGCCCCGGCAGTTCCACCTTGAACCGGGAGATCTCCTTGTCGCCCCTCACCAGCAAAAGCCAGGGCGGTTTCCTGACGCCGTTGTCGGCCAAACGACCGTTACAGGACGATCGGTTGGGTCCTCACGTCGAAGTCAAGCACAAGGCGTACATCCAGACCGAGCTGCCCTTCAAAACCAAGCCCGTGCACGACAAACCCGCGCACACGTGTGAGTGGGGGGGCCACGGGGAGGAGCGTGGTGATGCCTTGGCAAGCGGTGGGGTGGGGACGGTGCCGGGGGGTACCGCCACCCCGCGCTGCCCTTAAAAACCAAGCCTGTGCACGACAAACCCGCGCACACGTGTGAGTGGGGGGGCCGCGGGGAGGAGCGTGGTGATGC